TTTTCTGTCTCTATTGCTTTGCTCCTTACTCCGACCTGTCTGTCTTCTTTTCTGTCTAGTTTTCTTTCTTTCATGCTCCCCCTTTTTTTCTCTATTTTTCTCCCCATTTCTTTCTTTCTTTCTCTGTGTGCCTATGTACGGTAGAATGCCTACTAAAGCATGGTTTTTGCGATACAACGGTCTTGCCTGATAAATTCATCGCCTACCTTGTTTATCAACGATAGTCGCCGAGGCGCGTTTGTCCGTAAATCTTCGGTTCCCCGAGAAACCCGTTCCGACGCAGCGAGCAAGTTAACCTACGATTTCGGTGTGCTCCGAACGCAACAAGTATCGTTCAGAAGTGCGGCCGCTCGTCACCGCGACGCTTCTCACCCACGTCCCGTTCGACTTTAACCCTTAACGGAGCAACACCCCCATATAAGCGACATTCCACTTTTATTTACTGAGTCCAATGTTGCATATATGGTGGGAAAAATAAAAAAAAATAATAAAATATTATCGTTGTAAATATATAATATTTACAAGGAACACGTTGACACTAAACCTATCAAACGAGTCAGAATAATCTATTCCTGATTTTTTCTGTTTGTAATTATTAAGAAGATATTTTTCTGAGGAATTATTGAAGAAATCGATTTAGCAGTATGTAAACTGAATTGTAAAATAATTAAAGTCTCGATGGTAGACGCACCCTTAAAGTTAACTGCTAGGTTTAGTGTTATCGTGATAGGTCACTTCTACGAATTACTTTACGCGATAAGTCAGCTTGACGTACTTCCGGTCTCTTAAGGGTTCACTCTTTGCGGACGGACGTCATTTCAGCGAACTGAAATATATTCGCAAGACTAAGTCAGAAACATGATTTCATTGAACAGTAGAAGATCAACGCATTGTTTCTTTCTATCGTTTCATTCGTTATTCAACTGAATATTTAATCAACTATCAGCACATACTTTCATTTTCTCTATTATTTGATCAATCATTCGATTGAAAATATAATCAACTATCACACAATTCCCTCTTCTCTATTGTTTAACCCTTTGCACCCCACAAGTTTCTCATTAGAAACACCCAAGATTTCTTAATCAAATACCATCGACATTCAAACTGACTTAACGAGAAATCGTACATAAAGGAACAGTCTGTTATTTCAATATTTCACGTGTCGATTGTACAAAGTTAGAAATATTTTCGAATAATCATCCTTCAATTGAGCGAATTACACTAAGTCGATTTGATTGGTCACCGGTGACCCTCACAGCATTCAACGTGTTAAGACATCGACAATTGCGAAACAAAAAGTTCAAAACCGCAAAGGGTTAATCGATCATTCGCTTCCTACACGAATTATCTTCAAAGGTTTCGCGCCTAAACCTTCGTCCGCAAAGGGTTAAGAACGTTCCCAGCCCGAATCGGTTTCTCGCGGTTCCCACCTCGATTCGATCCCGTTCCACGCTTCTCCGTGTCAGCCAGACTCCCCTCCGACCCCTCGAGCGACGCCCGTCATCCGCATCCGTATCCGTTCCCCCGCCCCCGTGTTCGCAATCGTGTTCGCAATCGTGTTCGCAATCGTGTTTTACACTGCGGTTCGTTACGACGACGACCAACAACAACAACTAACCCTGGCTGAAATTGGCCAGCCTCGGAGCCGAACCTGCTGAAGGTGCGACTAAAGCAACGCGTGGAGAGGAACATGGCCGCATCGAGAAACTCGCCGCTGATGGCACGTCGGAAGGACCGCCTGCTCTCGCACCTGAAACGGAAGTCACTGCTAGCAAGTACGTTCTCCACGATCGAACCCTCGATCGAGATTCGATCGACCGTCGAATTCTAATCGGCATTTCCTGCGTGAGAGCATTTAGCGAACGATTCTTTTGCACCCGTGTTCTCGATAACACCGATCGTTGATTTTTCTGCCTTTTTGCCAGTGTCCAATAACAGCATGCCGACGAGACATGTGATCGTCTAACATTTCGAACATTACCGAGCTGCGTCGCACTAGTTCCTCGATTTCGCTTGCTATGTACATCTCGCGACGATCTTCGCTCGGTCTCCGTTTTCTTGACGCGTTGAGCGGCGACTTGAGACGTTTGAAGCGCCAACGTGTTGGCCAATTAGCAAACGGCTTCGTTCGCTTGTATCTGATCAATGAGTAGACAGAAAAGATATTCAAAGTATTATACACTTTCGTGAAATAGTACATTTTAATCCTTGGTACTCCAGGTTGTTTTGTAATCTATCAGCAACTACAACTAATTTTTATAGTACTAGCAAAAATGAGAAATGCTATAACATTTCTTCGATCTTTAAATTTCCTTCTTAGTACAAAATTCGGATGCGTGGAAAATCGAATTATTTTAGGGTAGTTTCTAGATTCATTCAAATATTTAATATTGTAACTAGTGCAATATTGAAGCCTATAGAGTTCAAAGGGTTAAATTCTGTATCTTTTATTTTCCTTCTTAGTGGAAAATTTGGATGTGTGAAAAATTTATATTTCTGAATTTAGGTTAGTTCGGTTTGGAAAAAGAATGTTGGAATATTACAGTATTTTTATGGTATCCCTAACGAAAATGAGAAATGCTATAACATTTCTTAGATCTTGTTTTCCTTAGTACAAAATTTGGATGCGTGGAAAATCGAGTAATTTTAGGGTAGTTTCTAGATTCATTACAATATTTAGTATCCTAACTGGTGCAATATTGGAGCCTACAGAGTTCAAAGGGTTAATCGCATATTCGTCAACTCCAAAAATAGAAATCCAGAAATCCGCATTATTGCTCAAGCGATAAACTCAGAGTCCCTTGTTCTCACGGCGCTCAACGTATTAAGAAATCGAAGATCCGTTGTGACGATCGGTAGAAATAGGAAAGTGCGACGAGCTCGCGCGCAACGGGATTCAAATTTGCCATAGGAAAAACGAGAGACCGTCCGCCCGTTCGAATTTCGATCTTGACCTCGATCGCGATCGCGATCGCGATCCCGATTTCGATGTCGAGTTCGCACGCGGCACGCGGCAGGCAAGCCTCCCGATGTTCCACGCCGCCGCTCTCTGACCGATCGTTTTCCAGATTCTAGCAGCAATCCGGAGTCCGGGCCTAACTCACCGCCGACAGTAGGCAACTCGCAGGCGAGTCCGACCGCTGGAGGTAACGCGGCGGCGATACAGGAAGTGAGTCAGACATTTATTACTAATTTCTTCCGTGTGTGCGCAGGTTGTTTGTTTTTAGGATTTGTTCGCTGACGGTTTTCTTTTTTTTAGGAAAGCGAGAACACCGCGTACGGCGGACCTCTGACCAGCGGCAGTCAGCAAGGCAGCCTCTCGGACCTCTCGCTGTTCAGCTCCCCGTCCATGCCCAACATCTCGCTAGGCAGACCACACGTTCCTTCCGGTGGCAATGCTGTGAGTTGAACCGATTCGCCATCTTGGTTCAAGATAGGATAGTTCGCCGTTTGAGTGCCAGCGGTTTTTGCAGAAGCTTGGAGAATGCCGAGCGATAGTGTCTGTCGTTCAATCCTTTGCACTCGGAAGTTTTTTACTAGAAATATTTTAACACTATGCAATGGTGTTGTACACAAAGTATCGCCCAGTGGCCGGCGACAGCACTCTAGTATCGTTTGCATTATGTTGGTGTTTTGTTTAGGTAACTATAAGTTAGTGTCAACAAGTTTTTATTGACAAGCGAAGTAAGCCGAATAAGTGCTGTCCACGCCGAGCGAATAAATTTTTACGAGACGTGCGGACGGCTAAGTGTTAACATTTTCTAATGAGATACAGACGATATTTTGTGACACTCGAAGAGAAATCACACGTACATTGAGGAACTATTTTATTTCAATATTTCTCAGTGGTGCATTATACAGAGTATAATATTAAATATCAAGTCTTGTAGTTTTACTGTATGAAATCAAATGGTGAGAGTCACCTCTCGAGTGCAAAGGGTTAATTTAGAATCTGAATGACACTGTTCTACTTTTACAAAGACAAAGTTTGAATAGTACGATCGTTATTTCCAGTCTTATACGGGCAATAACAAAAATGAGAATGAATAATTAGAAGGAAATAAATAAGCTTATAATTCTACGAACCGATAGACTCACTTTTGATGACTCAATCATTACTGACTCAAAGCTTAATATACTACATTCTAGAATAGCAATAGCAACCAAGATCTAAACACCAATTTCGCGGGAGTCATTCAGTAAAATCGCAATAACCGCAAGGTGACTTGCCTAATCTAACGTACGTTTATGTCCTTGCGGCGTCGCGAGTTCACACGGCTTTTCGTATTTATTTCTATTTATTTGATTTTCCTATTATCAGCTGTTTGGCTGTAACGACCGCTACATATCTAATCCCTGTTCGTTAAATTTCCAGACCGGCTCGAAGCTGGCGACCGTTTCCGAGGCGGAGGTCAGAGCGGCGTTCACGGCGCGGCTGGGGATGCCTTTGACCGGTCAGATGCTGCCGGGCACGTTGCCGTTCTACCCGTCGCTGACCGTGATCGAGGGTGAATCGGGGAACTCCGGCTACATCCACAAACAGATGCAGAACATGGAGCACTCGACGGTAACCAACAGACAGCACCCGACCGCCGCGGTGTACCACAGCGCCGCGGCGGCGGCTGCGGCCGCGGCTGCCGCCGCTGCAGCGGCAGCCACGTCCGCCTCGCCCATCACGGACACGCAAGTAGCGCACGCGAGACTGCAAAAGGCTGGTCACCGGCCTTTAGGTAGTATGTTCTCTCTTCGTTGCTGGCAACCGGTCGTTTGGAGCGGCGAGCGGTAGGCGAGTGCTCGAGACGCGCGGACGGCGGCCGGGGAAGACCGGTCAGGAGATTTCATGGGGTGTGTGTGTGCGGATCACGGGGCGGATGGGGCGACGCCGATGGCGATGGCGAGGGGGCACGCGCGTCTCGACAGTCGCGACCGCGCGCAATCCTTTTTCTCCCTCCTCCCGCTCGCGGACCGCCGCGACTGCTCGCTTCTCTTGTCGACAGGCAGGACGCAGTCCGCGCCGCTACCGCTGGGCCACCCGATGCTCCAGGGCGGCATGATGGCGCCGCAGACCCACTACGAGGAGTACCTGGCGGAGAAGCAGCTGCACGACCAGCAGCAGGCGCACAACTACCTGAAGCAGCAGATCCGGCAGACGGTGCTGACGCGGGTCGGCTCCAGGGGACAGGCGAACCAGCTCGACGAGGCGTCGGAGGCGGAGGAGTCGGAGGTGATAGACCTGACGGGCGGCGGGAAGAAGGACCTGCAGGAGGAGAGCGAGATTTCCAAGCAGCAGCGCGACAGGGAGCAATTCCTCCAGCAGCAGAGGGATCTGATGATGAGGCACACCCTGCAACTCTCTAACGAATCTGCGGCCTACAGTGGGAACGCTGGCGGCGTCGGCGCTGGCGCCGGCGCGGGCAGCGGCGTTGGGGGCTCGGGCTCGGGCAAGACTGGCCAGTCGTGCGCCAGGCCGTTGTCCAGGGCGCTGTCGAGCCCGTTGGTTCACTTGGGTAAGCTGGTAGTCTCTTTGGGGAGGTTTGGGGTTAACCCTTTGCGGGTGAAGGTTGGAATGTAGCACTAAAACTAGCAGTTAAATTGAATCTGTTAAAGTTCTCTATAGAAACTCCAAGAGATCTGTCGAGACTGATTTGTAATTCAGTTTTCCTATTGCTAGATCAATTTCTTCAGTCATTCAGTGGAAAATGTTCCAGAGACATCTGTTACCTTCTTAATAATTACAAAAAGACATCAAGAATGAGTCAGTTTGACTCTTCTGGTAGTTTTAGTGACAGAAAACCGTGTCGGTATGAAGCTGAATTATGTATTGATCGCTTAGATAATTGGAGACACTACGCAGTGGTCTGTTTCAGTAATTAATTTGCGACTTAGCTACTGAATGCGAACATTTCATCACGCCATTCAATCGCAAAGGGTTAACACGTTGAATGCCGTGGAGGTCACCAATGACAATGCTTAATGTGTGTTCAATTATAATAATGCAATTCAATCAAATGATTCTTGATTTTTTCCGTTTCCTGTATTTTGCGTCGTGAAATCATGTGGCATTTGACATGTTAATAGTCGCGAGTCTAACCGATTCGACTCGGATGTATTAATTGATCGGTAATTTTTGGGTACAGGACCTCAGGCCGGTGGAGCTGCCGACTTGTTCGCGCGTACCTCCTCTCACCGGCCCACCACCGGATTGGCCTACGATCCGCTTATGCTGAAGCACGCGTGCGTCTGCGGGGAGACGGTGCGCGGTCATCCGGAGCACGGCGGCAGACTGCAGAGCGTCTGGGCGCGACTCTCGGAGACCGGATTGCTTCAAAGATGCGACCGGATCAGATCTCGCAAGGCTACCCTCGAAGAGATTCAAACCTGTCACAGCGAGGCGCACGCGCTACTCTTCGGTGAGTATTCGAGCAGACCGCGTCGCCTTCGGATCGCTTTCTCCTCTCTTCCCACTTTGCTTCCTCTTTTATCTCCTCCTCCGCGTTATCCTCTTCATCCTGCTCTGCCTCCTCTCGTTTTCTAAACAGCGAGCAGGGAATGAATTCTGGTTCGCGCGAGAACTGCGTCGCCTTCGGATCTGTTACTCATCTCTTCCTAATTCGCTCCTCTTTAACCCTTTGCACTCGACAATATTTTTCATTGAAAATATTCATTACTTGCTGACTAAGTATTAACGATATTTTTCGGAACTAACACAATTGATTGTCATATATAAATTAAGAGTATTGAATTAAAAATTTTATAAGTTTGCTGCGTTGAAACAGGGGGCGACTGTAAGGCGCCCCTCGAGTGCAAAGGGTTAATCTCTACCTTCTGATCCTCTTACTCCTCTCGTCTTCTAAACAGCGAGCAAAGAATAAATTCCGGTTCGCCTGAGAACAGCGTCAGCTCATACCTCTCTCACTCCTCTCTCATCTCCTGCTCCTGATCCTCCGGCTCTTCCAAACAGCGACGCGCGAGCATAGAATAAATTCTGGTCCGCGCAGGAACGAATCCGATGAACCGTCAAAAGTTGGACGTCTCGAAGCTCTCTCAACTCCCGATCAAGAGTTTCGTCCGACTGCCCTGCGGCGGAGTGGGCGTCGATTCGGACACGACGTGGAACGAACTGAACACCGCGCCCGCCGCCAGAATGGCCGTAGGCTGCGTGGTCGACCTGGCGTTCAAAACGGCCATGGGCGACATTAAGAACGGCTTCGCGGTCGTCCGGCCCCCTGGACACCACGCCGAGACCAATCAAGCGATGGGCTTCTGTTTCTTCAATTCGGTCGCTATCGCCGCTAGATTACTCCAGCAAAAGCTCGACGTCCGGAAAATCATGATTCTGGATTGGGTAAGACTCTCGGCTTCTCCAATCTCTCCAATCTCTCAAAAACCACAACAACAACAACAACAATACGCGCCAGTAGTCTCTCTCGCGTTGACGGACCGTGTTTTTTTCTCTTTCTTTCTCTCACCGTAGGACGTGCACCATGGGAACGGGACGCAGCAAATGTTCTACGACGATCCGCGAGTGCTGTACCTCTCGATACACAGGCACGACGAGGGTAACTTCTTCCCGGGTACAGGCGGATCGACCGAGTGCGGCGCCGGCGAGGGCCTCGGCTGCAACGTGAACGTCGCCTGGTCCGGCGGCCTGAACCCGCCGATGGGGGACGCGGAGTACCTCGCCGCGTTCCGCACGATCGTGATGCCGATCGCGAAGGCGTTCGACCCGAGCATCGTGCTCGTGTCGGCCGGCTTCGACGCGGCCGTCGGCCACGCCGCGCCCCTCGGCGGCTACAAGGTTAGTCCCGCTTGTTTCGGAAAGATGACGCAACAGTTGCTCGGCTTAGCGGACGGCAAGGTTGTCCTCGCGCTCGAGGGCGGCTACGATTTGGCCGCGATATGCGACTCCGCGGAGGAGTGCGTGCGCGCGCTGCTCGGCGACGAACCGGCGCAACTGCGGGAAGAGGAACTGACCAGGACCCCTTGCCAAAACGCGATCGACACGCTACAAAAGACTATCGCCGTCCAGGTACGATCGTCGACTCGTCGTGTCCTACCGTCAGTCTTCGTGCTCTTGATCCTCTGACGCCCTCTCACTCACCTATTGGTCGCTCCATTCTGAACTCTACTCACTGGTCCTCGTCTTTTCTCCCGGCTTGTGCCTCCTGCTCTCTCTATCTATCTTTCTCTCTTTCTCTCTCTCTCTCTCTCTCTCTCTCTCTGTCTTATTTTCTCTCTCTATCTCTCACTGACTTTCTGTTTTCTGGATCACTAGCTCTCTCACTCTCCATCTGTCTATACCGAACCGACCAACAGACCGATCGATCGAAACATTTCAAAGCCTCTTCCCTTCTCGACTCGTTGTTTAAACGTTTTTTCTTTGTCCCTCTGCTCGTCTCGCAACGCAGATGTCGCACTGGCCTTGCGTTAAGGTGAACGCTCACACGGTGTCGATGAGTGCGATCGAAGCCGGTCAGAAGGAACGCGACGAAACGGAGACGGTCTCCGCGATGGCCTCTCTATCGATGCAACAGCCTACCAATTTAACGTAAGTTTTCTCGGTGCCTTCTCGTGTGTCGCCTTTATTTCTCTCTCTCTCTCTCTCTCTTTCTCTCTATCTATCTCTTTCTTTCTCTATTACCTCTCTCTGTTCCTCTATGTCTCTATCTATCCATCTCTCTATCCGTCCCTCTATTTCTCTATTCTTTCTACCTATCGTTTCCTTTCGCTCTGCCTTCGACCTGCAACTAATTCGATGCCCTCTTTCAGGACTACCCCAGAACATTCCCGCGAAGTTTCCGAGGAGCCGATGGAACAAGACGACGTGAAATGAAACTGTGATGGACTGGAGTAACGAGCCTCCAGCCGGCAACCACCGAATCGTCTCCGTCGACCGTCGTCCCCTCTACGCGACGCGACGACAGCGTCTCAGCTATTCCCATCGGATCCGTTCGTTCTCGATGTCGCGTACCTATCGAGTCGTCCCTCGTCGCTGTCGACGACGAGGACGACGCAGGGTGTACTCTAGCCGCGGAATTTCTACGCTACTCCCGCCGCGTCCGTCCGACGCGCCGACAAACGGATCGCTCGCGTCCAACCTGAACCGGCGTCGAGACCGACGACGTCGAATCGTGGAAGTTCGGTGGATCGATGGTACGTCCCCCTCGAATTTCGACGACGAACCGACGGGAATCGTCGCGAGGCAAACGGGTCCCGTCGAGATTATCTCGTGTAAAAGACAGTAGCGTTAGGCACCTCGACAGCCTCCCTCCTTCTCCGTCGCGCTGACGCGTCGTCGCGACGAATCCTCTTTGGAGGACTGGACGAAAATAATAGATGCTAGAACGATGAACGGTCGAATCGCGAGCAGCGCGACGGAGGAACGGATGCGGGGCAGACAAACACCGGGGAACGGGGAACAGTGCAAGAAACAATATAGCGCGTCGCGTAACCCAGTATCGCGGGAATGCAGCGATTCTATTTCCTTCGAACAGAATAGCAACATTTGGTTGTTTTATCGTGAACAAAGGCTGGTGTGATTTTTGTGATATTTTGTAAAAAAAAGATGAAATTAAACGAGCTATGTTTAATTATTAATGATGTATGCGCACGGAGAAACTGAGGCGAGAGATTGATGCGTGGACTGTGTGTGTGGTACGTGTTGATGGATGAGAAATTAAGGAGAAAGAGTAAGAGAGAGTAAGAGAGAGAGAGAGAGAGAGTGGCACATGTGAAAGAGAGCATTGAAATAGGAGCATTTATTTTTGTGTCGTGCATTTTACGAAAACACGGAGAGACACGTGGACAAGCTATATCCGCATATTTGTACGTTGTTGCGAGTAAAACGTATGTATACGGATCCATGCGGATAAAACTTTACGTGGATGATGCGCGGCGCGATGGAACAGCCCGTGCACGGGCGTCGGAGTTCTAAGAGTGCACGGATACGCTCTCACGTGTCCGATAGAATCTCAAGTGTTCGTCGTATGTATCGTCTCGCGTTTTTACCAAAAAAAATCATGGAAGCAAGAGCGCGAAACAATTGCATCGGTCGATTCGTGTCGCGGTTCTCTCTCCCTTGCGATATCGTCTCCCGAATCCCGTTCTCCCGACTCGGGTCACAGTGCATCGAATCGCAACGAAACGAGATCACTGTTATCTTCATTGTTCGCGCTTCCTTATCTCTCTCTCTCTCTCCTCGACCCGTGTCGCTTTCCGATTTTCCTTACACAGTCAGATCCGTCTGTCTCTTTGTCCGTACATACTCGACTCGACTCGACCGAATTGTTCGTCGCCAACTTGTTCCATTCGCGTGCGATGAACATTTATAAATTGTTGACAATTTACGAGAGTTTTATGAGTTTCCGACGATGAAACTTGCAACATTCCGATATCGTTCGTAGAAAATCGATACAGTTTTAGATGTATATTCGTTGACTCGCATCGAAACCAGAAATAAGAAGCTAAAGTTGATGATAAACAAATGTTACGATTACGTTATTGCACGTGTACGAATGTCTATATTGCGTAAGCTTAAACGTATTAATCATACATTTTTTATGTATATAAATGTACCTCGTAAAATAACTCGAAATAAAAGGTATAGTCATTGTGTTACATATACATTACCGACGATTGCTTGCTTTGCTTTGCTTGCTTGCTTGCTTGCTTGTCTTTCACTAGAACTGCTGTCTTTCACTAGAACATTTCCGTTTCCCTTAGGGGAAACGAGACACGTTAGGTATTGTCCGTTGCGAACGTTAGTCCGTGCAAATCGTCCTCAACCCTCTTCGACGCTCCTGTATGTCTCGGATGCGAGATTCTTTCGCGTTTGATCCGTGTACGGACCGACCGCAGCGTTACGCGTGATCCACGCTGTCGTTCAACCCTTTGCACTCGAAAGTTTCTCAATGGAAATATTCAACGTTTTCTGACGAGATATAGGTGATATTGTTTGAAACTAATTTAACGATAATTCATAGATAGATTAAATTCATAGAATAATTAAGATAATTCATCGTTAAATTAATTTAGTTTAACTAATTTAACGATGATTCATAGATAGATTAAATTAACCTCTTGACAGAGGTGTTTTATTGAAATATTTCACGTAGCAATGCAAACTTTCATTTGAAATATTAAATATTCAATTTCATAGTTCTGTTGTATCGAATCACGTGACTGAGAGTCACCTCTCGAGTGCGAAGGGTTAACAACCATCTCTACCGAACGTGTCGAATGCCACCTGAAATCTTAACCCTTTGCACTCCGAAGTTTTTCACTAGAAATATTTCAACATTTTCTGATGAGACAAAGATATTTGGTAGAACCAACTCGACGAGAAATTCACGTGAACTGACGGACAAAGATATTTTACGTCAATATTTCTCAGATTGATGAATTATATGAAGCATAATATTAAATATCAAACTTTATAGCTTCACTGTAAGAAATCAAGTGCAAAGGGTTAACACTTAGGCGGCCGTCTAAAAACAACTACAACCTCCTCCATTGCCTTCAATTGAACTCAATTAATTCAATTAATTAGAAACTGTGCTTTGTAAACCGTATTCGATGAATTGCAAATAATCCCACTAAGACTCACCAAATAACAAAAGAAAGGATAAAATAAAAGGCAATGCGTTAGAAAAATGGTAGATCCTTATTCGATTGAGTTTAACCCTTTGCAAATATTCAACTTCATAGTTTTGTATCAAATAAAGTGACTGAGAGTCACCTTTCGAGTGCAAAGGGTTAATCTATAAATCTTCAGTCATCATCACAACAAATGATATAACCGAGAAAATGATTTCAAACTAAAATTTAAAAAACTTTCGACACCTTCGGTAGAATCAACATCAACGTGATCCACTCGCTCGAAATCAACGGGAAAAAAAAGAATTCCAAACAAGAAAAAAAATCACTTCGAATAAGCATTACGAGCAACGTATACATATGAGTGCGCGTTCGCGCGCGTATGCAAACATTCGAGACGCAAAGTGCTAACACTACGATAAACTCGGGCTTTTCTAGATTTATTTCCATTTTCCATCTTTTCTTCATCATCGTTCTCTCGTGTTAGTATACATATCGATGCGATTACGACTAACATCTCGGAGTAATGTTTTACGTAGTCGGCAGCGACCCGACGATTTT